AAAAAAAAAAAAAAAAAAAAAAAAAAAAAAAAAAAAAAAAAAAAAAAAAAAAAAAAAAAAAAAAAAAAAAAAAAAAATATATATATATATATATATATTCCTTTTCTGGACATTTTCATTGTATGATGCCCAAAAATAATTTTTTGACTAAGATAATGCAATAGTATGAACTCATGAGAAAGATATTTTTAGACAATGTGAAGTAATCACAAAATTTATCTTAGAAATTTCAATGTTGAGAGTTTTTTTTTAGAAATTTCTAATGATTGAGTCATTGATTTGATACTAATGATTTCATTATATTGATTTTATTGTAATCATTTTGTTTACTTAATGCTAATGATTTACTTATAATGATTTTATAGCATTTTATGCTACTTAAACGTCATACAAATTAAACACTTTTAAAAAAATTAATAGAATTTTGATATTGACGTTATACGTAACGGCAAAATGATAATAATTTTATTTTCCGAAAAATAACTTTAAAATTATTATTAATCGATAAAAAATGACAATATAATTTTTTTTGCGCAGTTCTGCACTAATTTTTTTTGTGGAGAACTTCTCCAGACTAAAAGTCTGGGATTGTCGGCTGTTATGGTAAAAAGCAAGAGCATATTTCTAATGAGGGTGTAATGGTGAAATGAAGGTGTTGATTGGTTAACTCACGTTGACCTATTCAGAGATCAAGACAAAACAATTCAACCCACACCCCTGTTCGAAGTCATTTTACTTCGTAACCATGGTACCCGCCCCGATGCAAGATTCATGTCTGGAGGAGTTCTCCTGAAAGCCATACTATGATACTACTATGTATGCTAATCTTATGCAAAAACAACTTTTTTCCTCGTTTACAGTGCTTCAAACCTCCTTAACCCTTTGGCATAGTGTCCAATCATTAAGACACATCTTAACATTGCTCTATATTCCTTAACAGCACATCCACACTAAAGAACATAACAAAAAATTATTCTTGCTATTAACAGCACAAAGGTAAATGCATCTTTTATTCGTTCTCAAAATATAATTGCATGCAATTCATTGAGTTTCATAATTTTCCCATAGTAAACTTTTTATGTAGTAAATTTTAACAGAAAATTCAGCTTCAAGATTCAGACGCAGAATAATCGAAACACTTCCTTACCTTCAGCTTGAACTGCAAAAAGCACACAGCTAATCAAGAAGATGACTGCAATGTTTCGACACATGATACTTTCGTGATTATCCTAAAAGAAGGATACAGCATTAAAGTTCATTCAAATAAAAGTGGACAACAAATCTTTGTTATATTATCTTACTATACTATCTTGTTTATAATAATAGCAAAAAACATATCCTATTAAAAAAATAAAATAAAACATAATACTGATTCTGTAATTTTCGAAAGGCAACACACAATTTTATTCATCGAAGTGTTTCTGACGGTAAAATTCCGTTACAAAGATATATTTAGCACCGAAAAATGGCAGTGCCAGATCAAGATTCGGGTATTAACATAATTTTATGTTTTTACTATAACGATCACGGTTTGATGTAAAAGTAGGAGTCATCGAAAATATCGAAATTTGCCCTCTGTGACAGCAAGCATGGAAAAATTTTTGACTTTAAGAGAAATAATATGTTAATGATTCGTATGCATTTTGTATGCTAACAAATACAGGTTCTTCCGGAACTTCTGCTCATAATCTCTTGTAATAAATTTTTAGTCTTTGTTAGAAATGAAGATATCAGGAGATAAACACAATAGGCCGCACACTAAAGTTTAAATGAGAAAAAAAATCTCTTTAAAATGTTATTTCCAAAAAAACAAAATTTAAATATCTAAAAAAAATTTAAATATTTTTTAAAAAAATGCGAATATAGCGCTATATGTACTTCGAGATGAAAATTAGGTGTCATAGATATGAGAAACTCTTGAAATAATTTTCACTTTTAGCTAATTTTTTTAAGACCAAAAAAAGCAGGATTAGAGATTAAACTAAAAACTACTTTCGTATTCAGAAAACTATAGTTTTTCTTCCTAATAAAATTACACGTTATTTGAATAATCAGCTTAGAAAACATACATAATGATAGAAAGGATTAATAATAAAAGAATAATAAGAAAGAATAATAAGAAAGAATAATAAGAAAGAATGATAAGAAAGAATAATAGAAAAGAATATAGATAGAAAAGTCACAATTTCAGTGCCGTAAATTCAAGGCAAAGCTATAAATTTAAATTAAAATCTTCAGGAGAAGAATTATCCTTGCTTCAGAACAGTCAAATAACTTCAATATTTCAAAAGTTACACTTTTTTTTTAAATATAAAATTTGCCTATTTGGCGAGATTTTATGGGACGATGCTTTTGTTCATGGGACGACAAAGCCTTCTAAAAACAAACTTAAAGGTGGATAAAATTTAACGTAACAGCATAACAGTCATGCATAACAATGACAAACTGAAACCAGTTCCGAAAGTAGCATATTCTCCAAGAAGAGTTATTTATCAAACCCGCTTAAGACGAAGTATCTTAAAAAGATGCTACTTACCTGCTTGTTGTTTGAAGAAAATCTGCATTGGTGAAATATTTGACTGCTTTTATACTTTTGGGTCTTCTATCTATTATACGAATTTTCATTTATTAGTCATAAGAAAAATTAAATTTAACGATTCGAATAAGCCATTTTTTCTTTAAAAAAACTATGGTAATTATATAACTGTTAGAACAGACTATGCAAGTATAAATATTAAACGACTCTGAAAAACATAAATTTTTATCTTTAAAATATAGGAATAGATAAAATTGCCTAATCTTGATGGCGAAATTAAATAATTTTTTTTAAGTGTATATGCACCTGCTTATAGGAAAATTTATGACAATAATTTTATACCTTTTATCTTAAACTTAAACAATTTAAGAAATGATTTATAAGATAGGAAAAGATTATAACATTTCTGAAATTTTCGAATCTTTTATATCTTTTGAAAGAATAAAATGGTTCAAATATTTAATTATTTTGAATAACAATTATTATCTAATAATACAGCAAAAGTGATCCACATTGCTTTTACTTCTCAATTAATTGTAAAAAATTTGACAACTCTTTTTAAGGCAACATTTTTTTAAACATATAAAATTCATAATATTGTCGCCAATTAGGATAGCTTAATGAGGTGAGGCATTTTCTATTAAAACTATATTATTCAAGTACGTCTCAGGCGTCTGATTTTTGATACTGATAAATTTAAAGCATACACGTCTATAAACTACCAAAAGTTTACATTTGATTGAAAAAATAAGTAAATACATAAAAAATATTAACATATCTATAAATAATTTTAAAGCAGAGACAAAAATTTCTTTCATCTGACTGTTACACTTTTTAAATTTTTCAGCTTGTTGATAACCTAATTTAAGTCGAGGGTAATTCAGAAAATCTCATTACAGTTGTCTGATTTATTAGAGATTTATTAGATATTTGATTTATTAGAAAGCTTCAGATTTTTTAATATTAAGAGGGGGCACATAAGCTTCGAGCCCTGCGCTGACAATATTATTACAATTCTGCAACCAGTATTTTCAGAAAGATAATTGTTAGAAAGTTGTATTTGTCTGCTTTTAGAATTTCGAAGAATATATATGAAGATTATAAGAGAATTCTTCGTTATCTTTAAAATCGGTTTTCGTCTTCCAAATCAAATTTTAATTTTTAAAATTTAAAAAAAAATTAGCAACTTTGTTTTCAAAGTATTGAATATTAAAGTTTAGTCCTGGTTAATGCGAGTTAATGTAAAAGGCTGAAATAAGGGTCATTTCCAAAGCCTTTGAGCTAAATAGTTTGGCTGCTTTAATGGGCTGAATTAATTCTTACTTAGTAGATTTTTTCGTTACGTAGTAAATTGGTTTTATAATAATTTTTTAGAACGAATGAAGGAGTTTATGCATATAAAATAACACCCCATCATAATTTCTTTTAATAATTCTTTCAATAGCTTTACAACAAAGCTTTTCGAATGATTTCTTATAAAACGATGCAGATGTTTGCAGAAGAGTATAAATTTCCACAGTAAGTTTTATTTAGTTTTCTAAATGGTTTGATTCCAAGAGAGTTGGTGCAAATTACTATAGTTTTATCTGAAATATAAAAAATAAGTTATAAATTTCCTTGAAAAAGCACTTCTCCCTCGGGAAAGCTTTTCTTTCACTTTTTTTCATCCAGTTTTTGTTACGTTTCGCTAGTAGTGACGGAGTTTAGGTAACAGAATAGAAATTTTTACTAGATATATTACGCCTTATCGAGAGTATACTACGCCATATCGTGATTTGATTATGTTTTAACATAAAATTGCTAACTGATTGAAAATGTTTCAAAGAGCCTATTTCGATAAAGCTTGAAATCAAGCAATTTTGTTTTGTCTGTTCATATACTTATCAGCTTAAATATTTAATCGCAAAATTGTGGGTAACTAAGAGTTTTGAAAAAATAATAATACAAGTTCCATGAGAGAAATACAATATCCTTCACTAATGTAACTTTTAGTTTCTGGTATTTTTTAAAATTTTTAAAGAGATACATAAAGAATTATTTTCCAACTTTAAAGGTGTTTAAGATCCATCCGTATAATTTATACAACATACAATTCGCACAATTTCTCATAACTATCAATGAAGTTGAAAGATTTTAGAGGTTTAAATGACCAGTATTAAATTATGAACGAAAAGGAGTGATTTTGAACACATATGGTAAAAACCCTTAGGGAAAAATTATAGCAATAAGCTTGTTACATGTATTTAATAATTAGATTATCATTTTATCATTTGCAATAACTGTACAAAATCTCAATAACTGTACAATAAAACAAACTATTTTTTCCCACACACTTTCTTCATGTAACTGTGGAAATATTCAATAAGATTCGACAATATTTTTGAAAATTTTTAATCAGTAAAAAATATCATTTCAATATTTGAAGCAATTTTGAAAAATTTAGCCTAATGAGCATTTAAAGCCATATTCTCTCGACTGCGCATGAGTAGAAAAAATGAAATGTGGAAATAAATTTTTTTCTTCATGATTTTATTTTGAATTGTATTAAAAAATCCAATAAGAATATCTTGAAAATTTAAAAAGCAAATTTATCAACTTTCTGAGTAGCTTTCGTAAAGTTCGAAAGAAATTTCCGAAAGGTAAGGGGTCTTCCACAAATTTTTCTGCACTATTAAGCAGGACTTAGAAAAATGACACCAGCGTTATTGAAGACTATTCCCTATTCAAGTATGCTTCATTTCAGTTTTCTATCCTCATACCATCATATTTTGTTGTCTGGACAATCAATGTAGGGTCATCTTTTGATCAGTCAATGTATCTAATGTAGGTCATTTATTATTTAATTTCGTTGATAATACAAAATGAAATTTGGAAAAAGACCCTTAACATTCAGAACTTTCTTGCAAAATTTAGAAAAGCCATTCAGAAAATTACGAGAAACTTTTTAAATTTTCAAAATATTCGAAACAAATCTTTTTCAGAAATATCTAAATACGATTCAAAACAAAATTATAAAAACAAATTGAAATTTTTTCACCGCACGTTTGATACTAAAGGATTATTTTAAATTCTCATACATTACATAATTTTAAAATGATATGTTCGTTATTAATTAAAAATGACTCCAAACATTTTGTTTAATTTATTGAATATTTTTACAGATGAAAAAAATGCCAATGTCGGTATTGTCAAGAATATTTAAGCCAGGTTTACAAATTTTTGTGCAGTTATTGCAAATGATAAACACAGTAATTGATAGAATTTACCAGATAATTTGTAAATGTAATGACTTAGGGTGCTCAAAAACACTCTGTTTTTATTCGTAATTTGTTACCGATCCCTCAAAACTCTGAAATCTAAACACCTTTAAAGTTATACAATAATTCTTTAAGTATTTCTTGAGAAATTTAAAAAAAAATTACCGGACATTTTGCACATTTTCTCCTTTTAATGTTGAAATCATTTTAAGTTTGTTAAATATTGACAAGTGAGAATCAGTTTGTAAGATACGTGTTATGAAATTCTTACAATAGTTAAAAAAAGTTTCTTTTGTCCAAAACGTGCTAAATTCATTGTATATATTTTGCTAACATAGGTAGGGGCACTTTTTGAATTTCTTTTTTACAATTTTTTTCAATCTAGAAATCATTTGAAATTTATTTTATGCTAGGACCTTTTCCTTAAAAATTGTCCTTTCATGTCCCAGGAATCCTAAAGGCATATTTTTGAAATTTCAAAAACAAAAAAATTGAAGTGTTAAATTTCAGTATGTATAGTTCAACTGTTCGTAAATAAAATTTCTGGAATGGGTTCAAAATTTCAAGATTGCGGAGTTGAACATTGGTAGTCGTAAGCCCAATATTGGGTCTCTTCAACGACGGTTGTAAAATATAAAATTAAATAAAACATTTACTTGATAAAAAACCGTAAAAAGTTAGCTTCTGAGTGTGAATTATATGATTTGCACATGAATATCAGCTATCATCATCATCCTAGTTGGCCAGACAGCCCAATGATGGTCAATGCCTTTCTCTGCAGATTTCTCTTTCACGACTTTTAATTTATCTTTGATCTCCAATTCTTTTTATTAATTGCAAAAAATCAAACTCCACCGAATCATCTCATCTCAACCCCGGCCTTCCCCGCTTTCTTGTCATATATATATATATATATATATATACAGTGGTGGCCAAAAGTGTGGACTCTCTTTGAAAGTTTCATGTTTTTCAACTTTGTGTGCTTGTAGAATATATTAATTTTCACTTAAATACAAACGTTTATATATCAAATTTAAGGTAATTTAATGTAGAATTTAATAATAAACACAGTATTACAATATCTGTATTACAAAAAAAGTTATGCCATTAATAGTAAGATCTATCTTAGATTTGCATTTTTTGAAAGTGATACTTACACAATCAATACTTAGTAGGACTACCCTTAATTTTTAAGACAGCTTCACAGCGTCTTTTCATCGAGTGAACAAGTGTTTGGAGTTCATCTTTCGTAATCACATGGTGCCAAGAATCAATTATAGGTTCACTTAGTTGTCTTTTATTGGATGGACGTTTTTTTCGTACAAGAATTTTCAAACGTCACCACAAATTTTCAATTGGATTGAGATCAGGGCTGTTTCCTGGCCATGGTAATATATCTATGCCTCTATTTTGAAACCATGCTTTGCAAACTTTTGCTGTGTGGCATGGAGCTGAATCCTGCTTAAATTGAGACCTTCCATCACGGATCTCTTCCCCAACAACGCACCATTTATTTTTCAACAGGATTCAGCTCCATGCCACACAGCAAAAGTATGCAAAGCATGGTTTCAAAATAAAGGCATAGATATTTTACCATGGCCAGGAAATAGCCCTGATCTCAATCCAATTGAAAATTTGTGGCGACGTTTGAAAATTCTTGTACGAAAAAAACGTCCGTCCAATAAAAGACAACTAAGTGAAGCTATAATTGATTCTTGGTATCATGTGATGACGAAAGATAAACTGCAAACACTCGTTCACTCGATGAAAAGACGTTGTAAAGCTGTCTTAAAATAACACTATCTCACATAAATAAAAGTATTTATTGTATCTAAAATTTT